CAAAACTTTCCAAGTATTTTCAGGACTCTTTTCAAAGTTCTCTCTTCTTTCTTTTATAGTTTTCCAAGAGGTGTCTTGGAAACTCTTCAAAATATGTCCCAATTCGATGTATTTCCCAAAAAGATGCATTTTTTCATGATAATTTTCATCCATGTTGGTTATAACCACCTATTAAGCCAATGGGTGCCTCAAAAACCTCTTCAAAATTCCTAGAAACTGAATTTAATTGTCCAATCTCATCTTCTCCCTGCCACTGGAGCTTAAGCGCGGGACCTCTGGCGCTTAGGCAAGACCTTCTCTATTTAATTGGTGCTTAAGCGCTAGATATGGCACTTATGCGCTAAAACTCATTTGCACATTTTTCACCTCTTTGCTCCAAATTTGATCATTTTTCACTCATTTAAGCATTTTTCACCCTTTTATTTGTATCTGCAAGAAAAACACCAAAACACATTCCATTAAAACGCAATATCTTAAAAATATGTATAAAAATGTGTCTAAAAACACTATATATTTTAGGTGTATCAAACATACATTGGGTTTTTGCAATGCACGTTATGATATTGCATTGCACTTTATGATTTTGCAAGGGTTCTCAGTGCAACGAGCATGTGACAGTCGATGGTGGTCGATGGTGGTTGGCCAGTAGTAGTCGATGGTGGTTGGCGGCTACTGGAGCAAGTGACGTCCACTAGAGCTTTAATGTAGAACACGAGGCCTCAACGTTTTCTCCTTCGAGCTCTGGTCTCCTTCTGGTTCAAGATTTATGTCTTCTCTCAAGATAGAGTTATGATTCCATTTATAGAAACTGAGAGATGCCTTCTAGAAGTAAGTTAGAAACCTGAGCTACTCAATTAGATAACTTGAGGAGGTTCCTTCGATTGGACAGTATTGTGTGAAAATTTAAGTGTCATGATGATGTCAAAATTGAGTGATCTTGAACACATTGGATCCATCTAGTCGAGGCATTCAATTCGACTAAAAACTTGTCAAATTTGGAATTTGTTTGATCTTCTAATTGGTCATCAAAAGCATAAAAAAATGACTTAATGACTCGATTTGGGTTTTATTTAACTCAAATTGAACCAACTTTGATGTGATCGGGTTCATCTCGTCGAACCAATCAATTTGATTATAAGTTTGCTAAAACCAGAGTTTTGGATGATTTTTAATTGAAATTTAAACTCATTGCTTAAGAAAATTGCATCGTTCGTGCCGCATCCTGATGATGAAAATGTTTTTAGGGTTTATCATATACACACACATGTGTGTGTGTAGCATTTTATATATTATTTTATATGTACATGAAAATATGTATTTTTTTTCTAAGTCAAAATAATCCTTTTTTATGTGAATTTAAAGATTTAAGTGGTATAAATATAAAAATTAAGATTTAAGGGTTCAATTTGTAAATATACAGGAAACTGTTGGTATTCATGTATATGCCATTTTATATAGACACAAATAACATAATTGACTGAAGTTTCTTCATATTTTAGAATTATAAATCAATATAAGTTTTTTATTTCGTATAACGAATCACTACATAATAAGAGGAAATCAGAATTTCTTAAAAGTATTTCCTTTTTTTCTTTAACTTATCCCCCATTATTTAAAATAAAATTAAAACAGATCCAACATGTAAAAAGCTAGAAGAAAAAAATTCCATAAAAAGTGGTGGAGAGCGAGGAGGCATAAAAGGGCGTACAGGAGCGAGAAAGAGCTTCTCTATTCTCAGCACCCAATCGCAAAGGCGTCTCCTTTTTCCTCATTTCTCTCTCCCTCTCTTTCCCAACCAGTTCTCTCCTCAGTTCTCCATTGTGCTCGCTTGATGTTTGCTGAAACTACACAAAGATATTGATGTCGCCACCGCTTGAACTGGACTACATAAGACTTGCAGATGTCTCCTCCAGCAATAAGCTCGCCGCTGTTGCACCAGAGAATCTTCGTGAGACTGAGCTCCGGCTAGGTCTTCCTGGCTCCGAGTCGCCAGATCGCAAGGGGAAGGTGGGGCTTGCACTCGGCCTGCAGCTGCCAAAGTGCTTTGCTTCCGGTGCTAAGAGAGGGTTTTCTGACTCTATTGATGGAAATGGAAAGTGGGGTTTGTCTGGTAGCAGCGGATCTGAGGTGGAAATGGAGAAAGGTGGCAACTTGTTCTCGCCTAGAGCTGGAGGAGGAGTAGTAGGGCAGTTTGCCGGCGCCGGGAAGGCTGCGCCGGCGACGGAGAAGAAGACTCAGGGGCCGCCTGCTGCCAAGTAAGTTCGTGGTTCTGAGTGTTTTTCATGTTGCAGAAATTGGTCCTTTTTCTTGACATGGTTGTGCTGGTTATTAGGAATAAAGTAGGTGTTGTTTTTTCTTTTTTTTTTTTTTTTTTTTTGCCCATTCTCTGTTATTCTTATGAAAACATGCGAAGGGTTTTTGAACTTTGTGTTGATTTTATGATTCTTATCTGCTATTTTTGATGGCCTTTTTTTTTGTTTTTTTGAAGTAGTTCATCTTCAAATTTTTTTGTTTTTTTAAAATCAGTGTTTGTTTTGCTTGATGCCGTTGAGAAATTATGAATGAGTGTGTTGGTTTGGCAGATTTGTGGATCTTCAGGGAGAGTTTTTTTTCACCCACCCACCTTATTATTATCTCTAGGATTTAGTTATTTAATTTTTATTTCTGCCCATCTATCGTCAGATTGGGTCGTCATGCAGTGCTATATTTTTTCAGACTGATGAGATTTTCTATTTTGCTCCCTATTTTTTTTTAATTATTTGATAATTTTGTTCCATGTCTTTTTACTGTCACTAAACTGCAAACTTTGCAAGGAGGAATGATGCATCATTGTCGAGAATTTGTTCCTTATGTTGCTTTCCTCTTTCTTGTTTTTGGTTTTCACTTCCTGTTCCTCATTTTTGTTAACTTTGATGGATTTTAAACGAAAATTAATTTTTTTTTTTCAATAAACTCTCTTGATTAGATCTATTCTGCGTGACACACTAAACTAAATGGGTTTAAGGGATGATTATGCTGACAGGGCTCAAGTTGTGGGATGGCCACCAATCCGAAGCTACCGCAAGAACACGATGGCTACAAACCCATCGAAGAACAAAGAAGATGGTGATGGGAAGCAAGGGCTTGGGTGCCTCTATGTCAAGGTTAGCATGGATGGAGCCCCATACTTGAGGAAGGTTGATTTGAAGACTTACTACAGCTACAAGGAGCTCTCATCAGCTTTGGAGAAGATGTTTAGTGGATTCACCATGGGTGAGCTTAATTCACGCTCGATTGAATTTGTTCTCTAATTTAATCATTTTGTAGTTGTATGATTTACATTTACCACTCAATTCCAATGTATTTACATATCTAATAACTAAATTTCAATTTTTACATATATGCAAACTTACCTATGCATGAGAAGGTGTATTACACTTTTTAGAAGTTAAATGATGGTGTTTTTGATGTGATATGGAAGATTTTCGAGGCATAAATATAAAAAAGAAAGTTTTGGGGTTAGATATGTAAATATATAGGAATTGAGTGGTATGTATGTAAATGCCCCTTTATAGTGATAACAACTTTTAAGTTGAAAATAATTAGAAGAGATTTATTTTGATATGTAATGAATTCTCTTATATATATATATATATATATTTATGTCACTGTTATGCGTATGATTGATGCTCTTTAACATCAGATGGCAGAAATTTGAACTCATATTTTTCATTTTATCTTTTGTTTTCTAGATTATCATTTGAGAAAGGGCCATTTTGACTTCACTTTTAATTTTTTTATTTGTTTATTTTTGTTTTAAAATAAACATGTTGACGAGAATAAAACAAATTTAGTGATTTTTTTTTTAGAAATAAAATAATTTTGCTTTTAAAGACAAACAATCAATGGTAGAACTAAGAAGTGGCTTGGGGATGCAATCACCTCTAAATTTTTACTAAACTTTCTAAGGTCATATAATACAATAAAAAATTTTCCCTCTAAAATTAAATACTGAATAATAATTTAATATTAACTATATATTTAAATTAATAATAATATTTATATTAGTTTGAAATTCTTTTAAGGAGAGTTTTATTTATTAATACTATTTTAATACGGCCCTTCCCATATTTGCCATTATTATTAGGCCTTGTTTCCATGAAACCATAAACTTGGCACTTCAATGGAAGTAACATTGATGCTCAACAGAGCTGTGATAGTCTTGCTCTTGTCATGGACTTTGAGAGTACTATGCCTTCTCCCATATAAAAATAAATAAATAAAAAATTTAGTGTTGTTGTAGAATGCAAAGTAGTTGGTCCTTACTCATAAGCTTGATCTTTCAGGTTGAAAGCAAGTTGATCCTTACTGTATCCAACCAAATTTATCTTTTTTTTTGGCTTTACACACTTTAGAAGTGGTATCGGATCTGATGATTTGGTTGGAATTGCATGCTTCATAAATTTTGTGGCTTTTAATGCGTATTCGGTGCGTGCTGCAATAATATTTGACAGGGAAATTTACATACATACTGCTTAAGTCCTATGTATTTACATATCGAACACCAAAATTTCAATTTTTAGGTACATACCATGTTACCTATCCATTTAAAAGGGGTGTTTCACTTTCTAAAAGTTTTAAAAGGTGGTATTTTTGATTTGTTATGAAATATTTCGGTGGTATAAATTTAAAAGGTAAAGTTTACATAGTAGATATATAAATACATAAGAATGGGATGGTATCTATGTAAATGCCCCTACTTGATAACGTTAGAAATGTGATTTTTACAGGGAGAGGATAGCTAATGTGGAAAACTCTCATGCGAGGGGCAAATTGTTAATATACATGAGAATATTGGGGTTAATTTGACATTTAGATATATGAAAGATATGTTGGTGTAGAAATAACATGTGGTTGACCCTCACCCTTAAACTAAATTTGATTTAACCATTAATGTATTTGGACCTAACATACCTCTCTTACATTAACACTCCTTAATTAATATCTTGCCTTTTCTTCTGTTGTCACGTCTGCACACATATTTTCAGTTTTTAGGTCCAACATCAATTACATCTTTGATTTTTTTTATTCCTTAATGGCTGACATGCACGAATTCCAGAAGAGGTATTCACATACATACCACATAGCTCTTGCGTATTTATATGTTTAATACATAAACATTCATAATTACATCCATACCGCTCAAATCTTTAATATTGCAACCATCGCTATCTTTTTGAAGGCAAAATTCATGCTTTCGTGCATAGGTTTGTCACATCAATATGTTATAAGTGTAAATATCGTAACTTTGGGTGTTAGACATGTAAATACATAAGAATTGTGTTGGTATTTATGTAAATTTTCCATCCCAGAAACATGCTTATTCAAAAGTTAGATTTGTTATGTTTCAGGGCAGTGTGGTTCTCATGGAATTCCCGGTAGGGATGGACTTAGCGAAAGCGGTCTGATGGATGTTCTTACTGATTCTGAGTATGTGCTCACCTATGAAGACAAGGATGGTGACTGGATGCTTGTTGGTGATGTTCCGTGGGAGTAAGTTTCACCTTTCGATGTCTCCTTTAACTTTTATCTTAATTATATGCAGTTTGCTCCTCTTGCATTTAAGAAATATGAAGTTTTAGCTTATATTATTAAAGTTTTAACATAAAATATGTTCTTTCGTGCATTTTGTTTGATTTAATTATGACAGTAAAGTGATAGAGAAGTGAAAATATCAATGTTTAGTTGTTAAATGTGTAAATTAATAAGTTTTATATGGTATTTGATGTAAATCCTTCAAAAATATTATGTGCAAATGTTTGTGAAGCAACAATGATAAAGCCTTTAACTTATTTCTATGTTAATTTGAATTTGCATGGGAAACTAATCTGTCTGATGTCAATTTTTTCCTCCAAAATTTTAGAATGTTTATTGACTCATGCAAAAGGCTGCGGATTATGAAGGGCTCAGATGCGATTGGACTTGGTATGGATTATCTCTGTTATGTTTACACATTTTTACACATTTACATCATATAAAATATGCTACTCTTACTAAATTTGAAAAAGTTAAATGCACATTTTCATGCATGCGTTTATGTCATCAAAATGTTATTGATATGAATTTGAAAGTTATAGTTGTTAGATGTTAAACTACACAAAAATTGTTTTGTATATATGTAAATATCCCTAAAATCTTATGCTTTAATGTCTAATATCTTCTCCTCTTTACAGCTCCAAGAGTGATGGAGAAGAACAAAAATCGAAACTGAAATCATCAACTGCTGAGATAATAATCCAAAGTGTTTATATGAAATGTGTCTAAATTCTGCACTGTTTTACAGACTATATGTTGTGGTTTTTTGCTATTTTACATTTTAACGCTGTCTGAAAGTATTCTATCAGATCAGAATTGTGTCCTTCATTGTCTCTTTGTATGCTTTACCATTACTGTTCCTGTTTGTGTAAATGATTGTTGGTTTGCCTTATTTCTTCTGTTTTCATTTTCTACCCCCTTTTTTTACATTTTACTTGTTATATGAAAGTTTTATTCATTGCTTTGGGCTTCTATTTTTATAGTTGATCTTAAGAGATTATTTTTGTGATTGGAAATAATTTCCATGTTCTTGTTTATATTTCTTTTATGAATCTTGATTCATGCATTTATGTTGTATCAATTATTTTAAGGAATAATATGAGGATAGCAATCAATTTTAATTATACGGTGAGAGGATATGCTCCACGTTCTTATCGATGGGAACTTTTTAAGAGTGATCATAGAGATATGTTCGATATCACATTGTTTTTTATGCGAGGTTAAGTTAGGGTTTGTTTGGGACAAGTTTTTTGTTGCCTCCTTTGTGTTTCAGACTATCATCATAATCCTGTTTCAAGAACTGCTTTCTTGGTTTTTTCTAAAAACTTTTGTGATGGGAAATTATTTTTTTTAATTGGTCTGTTAAAGTATGTTGGTTGTAAGAAAGTTGTCTGATTTTTTTGGAAAAAAAAATATATATGTATAATTCCCACCGAAGTTTCTTAAGAAGTTGTTTTCTCCATCACAGTTTTACAATCATCTTTCGAAAAGGTCGCATTTACCCCAACTAGGCCCTTAATGTTAAGTTTTATCACTCGATAAATTATTGTTGATGGTGGATGAATTTTGCTCGGTGTTGGATTTCATGAACTGTTAATGTTATAAGCACTTTAGTATCCTAACCATGCTCTTTTTATTTATTTATCTATTTATTTTAAGTGCTATTATAAAGGTATGATTAAAACGTAAATTATAAACCAATCACATTGCTTAGAGGTTGTGTGGGATGACTTGTGATTTTTGTTGCTTTTATATATATATATTGGGTTGTGTGGGATGACTTGTGATTTTTGTTGCTTTTTTATTTTATATATATATATATATATATATTGGCTCAGTTCTTCCTATTTATCCTTCTTTGTTCTTACTTGTGCTTATTTTTAATTTTTGCATGCTATGTGTCATTATCACATAAGACTTTTGCTTGACTGTCTGATGGATGATGCATTGATGAATTAAATCTAAGAATTTAAAGTTGAAATCCTGTGGGTCTTATGATGCATACTGTTTTAATGAATCAGTCTTTTGATGAGAAACTGTTTGGGTTGACCTAATCATGTCGGGTAAAGTTGGGCGGACTTGTTTGGGCCCGGTGGGTGGCTGGTTTTTGCCCAGTGGCAGGCTGTTGGGCCCGATGATTTTGGTTTGGGTTTGACAACCCTTTTGCGAGCTGAAAGTTTATAGGCTCCAAACACTTTCAAGCTCATCTTTAATGGGTCTTATTTACTTTATTTTTATTTTATATGGATTTTCTATATACTTCATTGAATAAGATTTTTTTTTAAATTTTTTATATATAGGATGATTTACGTAAGTATCAAACAATTCTTATACATTTATACGCCAACATCTAAATTTTAATTTTTTTTTTATATATGTCATCTTAACTATGCATGAAAAAGGTGTATTTTAC